ATAGATAGATAGATATATCTATCTATATATATATTTTTTTTTTGGTACCGGGGATCGAACTCCGGTCCTTGTGCTTGCAAGGCAGGCGGCGGCACCACTGAGCTAAATCCCAGGCCCTCACACTTATACGTCGTTCAGTTTCGCTGCTCTGCAGTGCTCTGTGGGTTATATGGAGTTTCCACACACTTTACTTTATATAAAATGTATGCTTATATTTAATATTTCCTGCACATAAATATACAGCCCTCGGATTGGTAGATGTCTAGAGTTTTTCTAGTTTCTTCCACTACAAATACTTTCCTTCTTTGCCCACTTTGTCTCTATGTCTCTCCATGAGTGTGTGTGTGAGAGAGAGAGGAGAGAGGACAGGGAACACAACAGGGGTACACACAACACGGTAACACTGGATGTCTCGGGGTGGTAGACTTATGGACGGCTTTTGCTTTCATTTCTTTTTGCTTATTTATATCATTTATGTTTTCACAATGAATACATAATATCTATGTAATAAGGCCCTGGCCAAATGTGTACAGCTCTGCAATGTGCTTCTGCAGACATATGGTGTTTTATACGCTGATCGTTCTGGTGCAGAAGCTATTTTCTAAGTGGCAAAAATATCAACGCTCTAAAAAAAATGCACTGAAATGGCCTCATGCAACTCAGTGGATGCAAAGTTTTTAAAACACTTTATCATAGAAAGCATTTAGCAGTTTCTTTCAAAGTTAAGCATGAATGTACCGTATGACCCAGCAATTCCACCTGTGGGCAGGTACCCACCAGGACTGGAAACACGGGCCTAGAAATGTGAGCAGAAATGTTCAAGCAGCATCATTTATTCTAATCAGAGTGAGGACCTTCCAGCTGCCTATGAGCTGTTGACAGTATAGACAAAAGGAGGCCTGAGCACACACCGGAATGTTATTTTGCAGTCAAAACACGAGCAAACCTCAAAGCATGCTAAACGAAAAAACGCAGGCACAAAAGGATACATATACCCAAAAAGAACATCCACAAAGAGAAATCTGTGCAGACAGTAAAACAGTGGTTGCCAGAGGCTAGTTGGCTATGGATGAAAGGAAAATGGGCACAAGATTTAGGGTGACGGAAATGCTGTGAAAGTTGGAGCTGGGTTCAATACCCAGCAACCCCTCCTCCTCCCCACCCAACTCTAGAAGTGGATTGTGAGTCCTGGTTGCACAACTCTGCAGATACACCAAAAAGTACGCAAGTCTACACTTAATATGATTGAATCTTATGATACGTATCCTCAATAAAGATGCTTTAAAACAACCTCAAATATATCATAATAATTTAAAGGAACTCTTCAAAGTTGTTAAATTGACAATTCAATTGCTAAAGTTTATCTTTCCCATTTATTCAATTCTCTGAAGTCAACATCTGTGGCAGTTAAGGTAGAATGGGACCTGGATTAGCTTGGGAGCCACCCTGGGGATGAGTAAAGCGCTCTGCGTGTGTCTGGGCGGGTCATGGAGGCTGACCTTGGGGTCTACATCTGGTCCTGCCTCTTCCTTTCTGATGCTCTTGCCTGCTCTGCTTCCTGGCCACCATAAACTGAGACTTTGTTATGTCACACCCTTGTATTAGGATGGTTCCCCCTTGGAGCCAGCCACCCATTGACTGAAACTTCTGCAACCGTGAGCCAGTTGAACTTCTCCTTTACATTGTGTGTGCTGGGTTTTAAGTCTCAGCGACAGGAAGGTTGACTAATACGACATCTGAGACACAGATGAGGCAGAGACAGGGATAGAGATAGAATTAGAGATATCTAGGGATTGAACCTAGGGCCTTCGTACCAAGCTATATCCCCAGTCCTTTTGATTTTTTATTTTGACACAGTCTCACTAAGTCACTCAGTTGCTCAGGCAGGGTTCAAATTTGTAATCCTCCTGCCTCAGCCTCCCAGAGTTGCAGAAACAGCTGATAAATTTTAGAAACCTTCCATTTTCCTAATCCATGGATTTGAGAACTGGTTTAAGTATAAATCTCAAATGTTGACACTGTCCCCTCATCTGCAACTAGCCCTGTAAGCCCAGCGTAGGCCTAGCAGAAAGGCACAATTGTGGGTGTGGCTGAGAAATGCTGAGCAACCCGGGAGCATGCCGGGGGTTCCCTGAAAACGCCCAGGGAGGAAGCAGCAAAGCCTCAGTCTGTTTCTCGGAACTGCCAAAGATGTTCTCTGGCTCTGCTAAGACCAGTGCGACCAGCGTGTCTTCAGCACTTGCTGGTCTGCGGCACAGAGTGTGGTACAGACTGCCAAGTGGAGGGGTGGGGGACGAAGAGAAAAAGGGGGGAGAGAGAGAGAGAGTGGGGAGGGAGAGAGAGGAAAGGGAGGGAGAGGGAGGGAGAGAGCCGTCCCTGCGGTTCCTCTCAGCACAGGGAGCACGCTGGCCCCCCAGAGACCGACACCCGGGCAGTGCCATGTGCTCTGCGGCTCTGCCTCTGTTCCACTTCGGTTCTCTCCAAAGGCTGGGATGGGAATGTGATTGGCAGCACGGGGCACAGGGAAGAAAGGGGGCCCGGGACAGCGCGTGACCACATTCGGCAGAGGCAGCTGGACGCCCCAACCTCTAGCCTGATGGGCACGGAGAAAAATAAACTCTGCTGTCGTGGTACCACCCAGGGTCCCTTCGGACCCTAGGTCTGGTTTTCCTGGGGACAGGTATTCCTACCTCAGGTAGTCTGGAGAGATTTCAAACTGCTCTCTTGTTACGCAGAGCACGTTTGGGCAGGTTAATCTGGCCTCGGTGTGTCCAGTGTGGCCGGGCTTTGCCTGTTCCCGGGTCTTACCTCTGACAAAGACGTAAGCGCTGTACTGCTCAGCGTACTCTCCCATCCGTACGCGGATTGCATAGAGGCCTTCGTCTTCCTTGTTGAGATGGGAAAACGTCAGCGTTGCCCGATCGCCACTCCACTGTGTTTGCACCCATTTCGATGGAGAAACAGGTGCCCCTGGAAATAAGCAACAAGCAAATCAACAGATCTGTCCTCTACCACGCCCCTTTCCCTTCCTCCCTTCCTCTCTCTCTCATTTCCCCTTTCCGGTATTAAAGTTATTTGACTATGAGAGGACGTATCCGGGCATCAAACCCTTCTGCAGGGTGTACAGCACAGCCTCGGTTCACGAACTTAATTTGTTCCACAAGTCTGGGGAAGATGGCCACATTCGTGTCTGATGTCCAATGCAGAGCTCGCAAGTGAAAACGAAGTTCTGGTAAACACTTCTGTTTGCAAACCAAATTGTTCTGAAACAAAAGCATTTGTGAACTGTGCACCCCTGTAAAATAATAAAAATACTGGACAGAAGTGAGAGACCGTGTGCCAGACACTCCATTTCTAGGGCCAGTGCAGAATTAAATGGCAAAGCCCTTTGTCTGAAAAGCAGAGAGAAAATTCAGTTAAAGGCACCAAATTATAAGGCTTTTTCCACTGGAAATGTTTTATAACTCATGAAACCTACTAAGGGTCCTACAAACTGCAAAGATGATTTTGGTGCCATAAGTTTTCCTGCAATATATAATACTACTTACCAATGTGATATCTTGATTGATAAGGGGTCTAGCTTGTTTTTTACAAATTTATTAGGGCATGAACATTTATATTTCATGTTAATTTATTTTTATTTTTATTTTTTTTCCATGTGTAGAGGGCTAACATCGTACTAAATACGTAAGGTCATATCTACGTGGGTTTGATTACAGAAACTAATAAAGTATTATCTAAATAATGAAAAAAAAATAAGACTATAAGAGCAAGAAGCAATTTAAATATGTTCAGGG